CGGCAACCGGGGTTGCCGCCCCCCCCGCCCCGCCCCGCTTCCCTCAGCGGCGCGGTGCTGAAGGGACAGCGCCAGCCTGGGGTCCCTGGGGCCGGCTCCCAGGGCGGGAAGGGGAAGGGGAAGGGGAAGGGGAAGGGGAAGGGGAAGAGGAAGAAAGGGGAAGGGCCGCCCGCTTCTCCTCCCTGGGGAGGGAAAAGGTGCTGGGAGCGCCGGCTGGGAGTAGGGCTGGCACGTCTGGGTGTTGTCGTGTGGTTGGAGGGGGGGTTCGGTTAATGACGTCAAAGGAGTTCGGAGGGGGAAGGGGGTGCGTTTCTTTCAGAAATACATAGTCACGTTGGCTTGGGTTGAGTTGCTCGGCAATGCTTTTGCAAATTCGTGGCGCGGAAGAAATCGAGTTGCTTCTCAGCGAAAGGAACGATAATACAAAACAGGTTCGGTAAAAACGCCATTCTCTTCTGCCAAGAGATCGGTAACTGGACGTCGTCGTAACGGTGGCGGCTCCGTCTAAACGCGGCAACACCTTTCCGTTACAGCCAAATACGTGACAGAGTTCCCAGGCCCTTAGCGAGGAACCTGGCTAATGCCTGCCCAGGAGTCACCACTACATCTGCGGTCGCACCAGACAGCTGCTTCACCGCAGGCAGCTGTGGCTGCTACACTGCCGAAGCCAAACACCCAGCCTCCGTACTCTTCAACAGCATGAGAATACGATCAAGGTAATATAAAGCCAACGCTCTTTAGAACGGAGAGATTCCGTTGGCTATTGTTAACCTCGATAGATTCGTTACAGTGGATTCCAGCAGTACTTAGCTGCGATGGGCACCATGAGCATTGTTTCTTAAAAATCAGACTTCATCAAGGGACGCAAACATTTAAGGCCATCCAAAGCCATGAGGAGTTACAAGAGAATTGTGCCTCGGGGTCGCTCCCTAGGACTCAAGAGCTTAATTTCAAATGTCTTATGTTTTGCACGTCTTCAAAGGAGGCCAAGTGCAATACAAAAAAAAATATATGAGCTACATGAAAGGGAAAGGGGTAGGTATGTGAAGAAGAGGAGATGAGAAAGGAAGTAGAAAGAAAAGAGAATGTGAAAAGAAAGAATGAGACAGCAGTTGAGAAAAAAGGAAAATACGTGCTGAAAGAGGTGACTGAGCAAGGAAAACAGGTAGCCAGACTAACTAAATCTCACAGCTGAATCCCTTTCACATAACTGAGTTCCTTTAGCAGTTATTCTGTGAGGACTGCTCACACATTACAGAAAGCATACTCAAGAGAAATGATTATACCATGATTAATACAGCACTCTGCCTGAACTGTGTAGTTCATTTTCTTAGGAAAAATATTTGAAGGAGTGTTACGCCATCAGAACAACATTTGGACAGCATGGCTGAGCAGTGTTAGGACTAGAGCAGCCAGAGGTAGCAGGCAGCCCTTTTATAAACCCAACCGCACAGGCCAGCTCCTCAGGGACCAGTGCTGGCGTGCTGAAGGAGTAGCACCAGGTGTTCGGGATCAGTGTCCAGCCCTCCCTGACCAGGAGGCTGCGTGGGAAAAGAGGTGAGAGGGAAACAGACCTTCTTGCAGCTGGATGATTGCTGATAAACTGGAAATGTAAATTCCCTTGCCTTTTATTTATTTTGACCACGAAAGGGGGAATTTCATCTTTGCTTTCATGCTGAGAGTTTGCTATTGACTTTGACTGAATTTTAATTTGATGTTTATAGAGATAAGTTTTTCCATATACATGTAGCATTAAAGAATGATGTCTCTCTTGCCGTAGTGTTACCACCTATCGAAGTTGTGCCAGAATTTCAAAGTGGAAGTGGAATACTTTTCTTGCTGCTTATTTAATTTCCACCTCTGGGAAATACTTTATAATTCTTTTTTTTTCCTCCTGTTTGAACAGCATGATTAAGAAGTGTTGTGTACCTCATTAACAGAGGGAGAGAGAGTTGAAATAATGGCAGAGGGAAGGTTGTGGGGTCTGTCATGTCTATCCAAATGGAATTTCTCACAGGCCATCTTGGCTCTGATGATCTTAGTCAATGCATTGGATACTCTGAATAAGATATCCTAAATTGCATCTTCTTCTAGCAGTGGGGGCAAAATGGGCTTTCAAAAAGCTGGAGTGTGTCTTCTTTACTCTCTAAAGTAAAGAAATAAAAATTAGGTTTGACTGGAGAAGCTCAGCAGATGGCCTTCTGTAAATCCTTACAAGTCAGCCAACTTTTAAAAGAACAGTGAAGCAAGAGTGACGGGTGGGAAGGTTCATGCATCTAATTGCTTTTATGTAACCAAATATCCTGCATCAGGCCGAGTACGGTCTCCTGGGCACCCTCCTGTCATTCCTTCAGAAATAACAGGGACGTATAGCCACTGCCGTTAAGGACTGAGCTCTTGGCAACAGCTGCTTGGGCTTGAATAGACATCTGATGCATAAAAATCCTGTCCCAGGGTGCATAAATTAACGTTACATGCAAACAAGCCGGGAAACCATGATCCCAATCCTCTTAAAGCTAATTCCAAGGTCTGAATTGAATAGACAGCAAACAGGGAAAAATCTTAGCCGTTAGGAAGGTTCTGTCTGATATGTGGTGTGGCTTTTTCTATATGGAATTTCAGTTTGCAAACTGGAACAATTAATTCTCAAAGTACAAAAAATAATTAAAATAAAAAGGTTTAGGTGTTACATTTAAATCCTCTCCTTTCTGAGACTGAAAGTATTATCCCTCTCTAAGCTTCGTGGGCAGCTGAAGATTATAGAGACAAATATTCTGAGTCGATTCTTCTATGTCTTCAAGCCCTAATTTTTAAATATCTCCTTGCTTTTTTGTTTGTTTGTTTGTTTGTTTCTATTTAGCCATTCATATTTTTTAAATCTTTTAGTGGAGCATTGATCAGTGCCCACAACTGTAACGAAACAAACTTCCACCAGCACCTATAAAACTTCTGCCATGCTTTTTACCATATTACGCTTGTTAAACTGATTCTAGCAGACTAGCACTGGTAGGCCAACATGGCTGAAATCTGAACACGAATTAATGTGTCCACTTCCCTCAGAGGGGTTCTTTTCTCTATACTTGATGGATTAGGATAAGCAAGAGGCTTACTTCGTCAAACGTACTACATCCGGGTTCATAGCTATGCTGTTTAGTGTACACTAACTGCATCCTTATCTTAAGGCAAAATCCCTAGAAGGAGCAACCTGTACTTGGAAATTGTGAGTAAACCCATTAAAGGCCTCAAACTGCTTGAGCAGGGAGATGATAGGCATTTCACAACCACGTACCAAGGAGTGCTTTCTGCTCCTTCTAACGGTAAGGCAGTGCTATAGCCTGCTATCTGCAGCAGAGTATAATGACTTACACACAAGCCACTTGCTAACACAGTATTTTGGCTTAGTTCCTCACAGCTGTCCAGAGACCTTACTACTACAGAGGAGTCTGTAAATACTCAGCAAACTCTCCAGGCTAAGGACTGTGACATTTGCTGAATTAAAGCAAAGATGCTCCATTATTCTGATGTCCTTTGTAAAAGTGGGCACTGGAATGCATTTCGGTCCTTGGAGAACATCACCAAGTGTCTGAAGTGCCTTGGTGAACCTCAAGCACCAGTTAGCACAGCAGAAGTTGTATTTAAAATGGTCTTAGCATGACAGAGGCTGCAAGAGTCTTCTGACTTAAAACTGAATTGTAATGAAGAGAAATAGACCCTGAAGTAATTTCTGTTCAAATACCAGCAGGAAACTATGGAAAACCAGGGACTGGTATGGTTAAATAGTGTTTGACTTCAAAGCCAAACATCTACAGAAAACATCATAGAATAAATTATTGAATATTTAACAGATGAGCTGAATTTTGCTTCAATGTATATATTTTGGATCTTGAAGGTTTTAATGACTGTTAACTGGAGACTTTGTAAGATGGAGGAATGGCTTATGTCTGGAGCAGATTAGTTAAAATACTATGTTTCTACATATGTATCTATCTATCTATGTCATACTAATTCTAGACATGCTACAATTAGTAGTCAAAAAACAGCAGAAAAAGATACCTTATTGCTGAGATGATCAGTTAGTTAAATCACATATTTTTAGACTGAGATTAAAACCCCACAACAGTAGGGGTTTTTTTCGCACCTGCATAGGTGGGAAAAAAAAAAGGAAGAGAATGAAAGGTATGAATTAAAATACACCCCACTGGTTTTCACTGCCTCCAACACCATTGCTTTGCTGCTTCCATGTCATGTTGTCTGATATTGTAGCTTTAATTCCTTTTTAAGTTGTAGTTCATCATTCCAGTGGAATGCACAATGCTTACAAACTACCACCTTTTTGTTAGAATAAATCCAAAATATTTCCTATTTATGAAAGAGTCTTATAGGATTGTATAGGGATTAAATCCATAAGGTTTTTTTATATGCAATGACAGTCCATAAATTACAAAGAGTGAAAACATAGGATTTGATATAACATAATCTTAAACCTGGTTCTTGCCATAATTCCATAGTGGAGATGTGATTTTTAATAAATGCTATATTCTCAGGATATTTGTACAGAATCAAATCAGTCAGTCTTCACATAAGAGTTTAAGTAAAAATGCCATGTTAATTCCAGTTCATATATAAATCATCTGAAATCCATAAATTCTTGAAAATAGTGGCTTTTGATAATGCCATTCATCCATGCTTTACAGCACTGCTTTGAATAAGTGAGGCTACCCACTTTGGGGCAGGTTCTTTGTGTTCTTGCTCTTTCATGAACTACTTTTACAAGCACTTTCGAAGAAAATGGTGAGAAATTATGGTTGGGTTTTGACCAAGAGGATATCTGTCTTCATTTTGTTTTTCCACTGT